CAGACCTCCCAGCACTACATCAACCCGTCTTTTGAACACCTCCAGGGATGGGGCCTCAACCCCCTCCCTGGGCAGCCCATTCCAATGGCTGATGACCCTTTCAGTGAAAAAATTTTTCCTAATATCCAGCCTGAACCTCCCCTGGCGCAACTTGAGGCCATTTCCTCTTGTCCTGTCGCCTGTGACTTGGGAGAAGAGACCGACCCCCATCTCTCTACCCCCTCCTTTCAGGGAGTTGGAGAGAGCAATAAGGTCTCCCCTCAGCCTCCTCTTCTCCAGGCTGAATAACCCCAGTTCCCTGGGGTTCCTGGTCAGTTCCCTGGTCACAGAGCACTGGGAAGCCACAGGAGCAGCTTGTTGCTTACAGCACGGCTGGGTGTATATAACTCTGTGCTAATACGCATTTTGGGCTGCTGTAGCCCCGGGTGCTGTCCCAGGGTTTCCCTCCTCCAGCTGCAGAAGGGGTAGGCCCTTTTCAGGGACTGACAAGGAACAGCTTTACCCTTGGAGGCTGGGGATGGAGTTGGCTGAGGAGGAAGGTGAAGGTCTGCCTGGAGCTCTGCCACCACCTCGTGGGGAGGCAGCAGCATCCCAAGACTCACAGAGAAACAACCGCCGGGTTATTAGCCTTCCCCTGCGGGGGCAGGTCTCCAGTTTGTTTCATCCTCCAGCTCCGTGCAAATACACAAGGCTTGGGGAAAAGAAAAGGGAAAAAAAGCCACTCAAACACTTTTCTTTCCTCTTTCAGCTCCCTCTTGCATTCCACAACCCGATGCACAGAGGGGCTGCTGCTCCCTGTACCCCCTCTATTCTTGAAAGAAGGGGGCTGGAGAGCAGATCTGTTGGGGAAAGAAGGCAGTAGGATCCACACACCTGACTCAGGAAGTAAATTTATTTATTTTCCACCTCCCAACGCAGAATTTCACTTTAAAATCAGTCCTTAGAGATACATTCTTTCCTGCAGGGACCAACCACACAGCTTTAGTGGGGGGGTGTGGTGCTGGGATGCAGTGACAGGGGTTTGTCATCTTGTTGGTGAAAACAATCCTTTGTGGGGGTGCAAGAAAGGAATCTGCAAAGATTATCCTAGGGATAAATCATCTGAGAAAGGCCCTTGTCCCATTGGATTCATTCCGCAAGTGTTTCTGTGCCACTTACTTATTGCAGGGGCACTCAGAGGCTTCCAACAGATACTTCAGTGTCTGCCCATAAGAAAATTGGAGGAAAATACAGAATATGCTCTGGGCATTAAGCCCAGAGAAGATCTAACACTCTTGATGTGTGTGGTTCCCTAATAAAATAAAAAATACTTCACCAGCTGAATGAACAGAGAGATTTTTATGAAATAAGCCTGGCTGATAACATCCCCAGGACCATCACGCACTCCAGCGCCCGACACTGAAACCATCAGGATTTGTGCGGGTTGGAAATCTCCAGGATTCGATGCTTTCGATGTGCTTGAGAAGCAGTTTCTGGCTTTGGGACAAAAGGGCCCCTCATGTGGTTTAAATGCCAGAATCCTCTACAAACAACCAGCCACAAAGGCAGTGCAGCACCAAGTATTTGCAAGCCTTGCCAAAAGCTGGTCCTCTCCGGGGCGTGCGAATCGCTGCGCTCAAGCCAGGCAGAGGGGAAAAGCTTCCTGCTGCAGGACACAGCATCCTGGCCTGTGTCAGGAACAGCGTGGGGAGTAGGGCCCAAGAGGTGATTGTCCCCCTGTACTGGGCACTGGTGAGGCCTCACCTTGAGTACTGTGTCCAGTTTTGGGCCCCCTACCATAAAAAAGACATGGAGGTGCTGGAGCGGGTCCAGAGAAGGGCGACAAAGCTGGTGAGGGGTCTGGAGCACAAGTCTTATGAAGAGAGGCTGAGGGAGCTGGGGGTGTTCAGCCTGGAGAAGAGGAGGCTGAGGGGAGACCTTCTTGCTCTCTCCAACTCCCTGAAAGGAGGGTGTAGAGAGGTGGGGGTCGGTCTCTTTTCTCAAGTCCCAGGCGACAGGACGAGAGGAAATGGCCTCAAGTTGCGCCAGGGGAGGTTCAGGCTGGATATTAGGAAAATTTTTTTCACTGAAAGGGTTCTCAGGCATTGGAATGGGCTGCCCAGGGAGGTGGTTGAGGCCCCATCCCTGGAGGTGTTCAAAAGACGGGTTGATGTAGTGCTGGGAGGTCTGGTTTAGTGATGATGCTCCTTGTTTGTTGTGTGGGTGTCTATTTTTGTCAGTCAGGTTGACGGTTGGACAAGATGATCTTTAAGGTCCCTTCCAACCTAGAAGATTCTGTGATTCTGTGAACACGTGCTAAATGAGTATGTCGAGAGCTGCTGTGTTTGGGGGACCCCAGACATCGCCTCTGGCTGATTCCTCACCGGTTCAAGTCAGTTCTGTGTAATTTCTAACCCACATCACTCAATGAATCATTAACACCGAGCTTTCAAATTAACTTTAAGCTAAAGATTAGCACGCACGGTGGTGAAGGGGAGAAAGCACGAACTGTACAAGGCAGGACACCAATAAAACTCAACAGGCACAAGGCAATAAGCAGCAACATTTCTCATCTTTGCAAATACTCCCCCAAAAAAACAGCTGCTGCTACTTGTCACAGGCTTGTTATGCATAATTGGGTTAAAAAAGGTATTTAAAATTGTGCCGCTGAGCAGTGTCAGTATGTTCCAGTCTTACAAGCAGGGAGAGGAGAATATCTGCCATTTTAAGACATCGCATTTTAAAATCCAGTGGTGGAAAACAATCTTGGGATAAATACCACTGCTGGGAGGCCTGGGATGGGACACCTCGCTGAGCTCTGCTGGGTTGGACCGGGAGGGAAGCACAGCACGGGAGGTACAGAAGATACAAACCCAGGTATGCCAGTTCTTCACACAGGAAGTTTAAAATCCAACTTCACCAAAAATCATTACTCTTTCCATTACGTCACTTCATTATTTTACTTGATGTAAACACCTTCTAAGCAAAAAAAAAAAAAAACCACCAAAGAAAAATCCAAACCCATCGTTAGATTTGTAGAACAAAACTAACATGGAAGTAACACTACAACATCCCAAACGACACACACGTTGTTGCCTCTGAAGCCCACACTGCAACCCCAGGGCTTTTGGTTTCAAAATGAATAGGAGCAACAGAAATTGCCCGACAACGTGTTGTTGAAAATTTTTGTGGAGTCAAGAGGTTTGCTGCTGCACTGAAAGCTTTCCCAGTATGAACAACTAGAAGAAAACTTATGAAAGGTCATAAACTATGTATCATTCTCAACTAAGAGTGTAATTAGTTCGTGTGTGTACGGTAAGGAAAAAAGTCAAATGGTAACGAGCAAAAATGATGGATACTGCCTTTGCATTTTAATCCTCTGACATAACACCCCCTCAAAATAAACAGAATAAAACTTCCCTGAAGTTAGCTGGTGAGACATTAAACTGCTTCACATTTTCTACTTTAATTCAATCTTCTTTTCCCCCAGTTTTAGAATCATTTTTTCCAATTCCTGACTAAAATTGGCCATGCCATATGAGAAATTAGAAGATCTATCATCACTAATTGCTCACAATTTGCCAGCGTGATTTCTAAAGACGGCAGAGCTCTGGCTCACCATCCCCACGAGACAGAGGGATGTTTTACCAAAAATCATTTTGCCTCCTCGCTGGAAGCTGGGCCACATCCTCACAGCCACCATCCTCCTCACCGCCACCATCCTCCTCACCAAACTGCAGGCACAGGTGCTTGCACCCATCACCTCTCCAGCCCCTCTCTGCTGGATCACACAATTCCCACTCCGTTCCCCAAGACACTGGGGACAGCTCTGATTACCAAGAAGATAGGAATGGACATGTGATGTAAAAAAAATGAAGGTACACACTGTTACTCCTCTTTATCTGCTCCCACGTGGGAAGAACAAGGAAGTTTAAGGAAACTCTAAAGGCGGTGTCCTTTGTACCTCGGAGTACTTCCCCATGCAGGCACAGACACAGCACTTCCAACAGGCTCCCAATTCCCCAAAATAAGGAAAATAGTACAACAGAGAACTGCCCAAAGCCTGTCATGGTCTGAATAATGTTTTTTCACCTGGCAGCTTATCGATGACCCTGGAGAGAGCTTCACAATTAAGGAATGAAAACAGGACACAGGGTAGACAGCAATGTTCTGTTTTTACAGGCAGGCAATGAGAGGTCGAGTGATTCTTGACAAATTCACATGGAAGCAGAGTCTCAAAGGCAGCACAGACTTGTGGCCTCTCAGCCTCCTGCACCAGGAGGGAGATGATGATGTGCAGCTGCAGCTGGGGGTAGCAGAGCTCCCTCACCTCAGAAACCACATAAATTGTACTCACCTCCACCAGGACCCCAAATTCCTGACCCCAACCCCGCCAAATTCCCTGCTCAGGCAGACACTGGAGTTCAGGGTGTAAAGCTTCACCTCCTCTATTTAAATAAAGCTTCTGATAGGAGAGTGTCTCAGTGCTGTACAGTGTTCTACACTACATGACCCCAATTCAACACACAACTGCAGCACAAATACATAAACTTGCCACATCCTTTCAGCAGACAGCCCCTTAGAGTATGTCCTGACAGTGACAGAGGTCAACAAATCCCCAAGAAGACTTGTCAGGAATGAGGATTTAAGCCAAAGCTATTTGTTAGTTCAATTTCTATCAAAGCCCAATTTTCATTTCAAATTCTAATTTTAATTTCTATCAGAGTCAAAAAAAAAAAATCTGTAAGCTGGGCTCCAGAATATAACAGTAGAAGACCCAACAAATCCCATAGGAGATTATCTTTTAAAAAAAAAATCACTGAATTCTTCAGCTAGAACTGAAAAATTGAATTGGTACAGAAAAGACACAGGACTACCCTGCTTGATGACTGGTTATAACCAATATATTATATTATCCTGTTAAGAGGAAAAAAAAAAATGCAACCACAAAGGTCCTTTCCCTCAAAGCACTGCAGAAATGTTGCCCTCAGTTCCAAGTGGGAAGGAAAAATGCCAATCTGTCTGCTTTCCCAGAGATTTATTATGTTTGAGCCTGAAACAGCAGAAAATATTTTTGGCCTCATTATTCCTTTTCATGCTCAACTGCAAGCTGCATCTGCTGCTCCAAAGGAAAGAGCAGGCCAGATTTCATCTTACAGCTGGTTCCTCAGAAGACGTGATCCACAGTAGCTGCCTCCATATTTTTCTTCTTCCTTTGTCCACAGAATTCCAGCAAGAGACAACCACAATGTACTGGCCAGAGAGAAATATTTCAAACATTCCAAAGAGAACAAAACCCGTAACATAAGCACCACAAAGGAGGACAGATAACCAGTTAGAAGACCATTTAAAAAACAGCTGAGCAAACTTGTACAACAGAAGTCAAACAATGTGAACAGGCATGGAAGAAAACAAGGGCACATTATGCTGCCAGTATCACCGCAGGGAGCTGCCTTCAAACAACTGGTTCTGCTTTATTCAGAGTTCACATAAGCATTTTCCATCCTATTCCAAGTACATCCAAGTGTCCCAGAGCCATTTCAGAGTTCAGACGGTAACTTTGTGACCTACCAAAAGCAAGGTGAGACTGCATCTTGCATTTCAATGAAGCTCTGGGTGTAGATTTTTGATATTTGAAACACAAGCGCCAGACTGTTCACAGAGTTCCAGGTCCTCTTTGGGGCAGAGTTACAAATGATCAGCCTAGAGCAGAGTCTTCAGCTTCAGCAATTTGTATTCATAGCACCAAATATGTGTGTTTTTTTAACAAGCCACAGTTCCCACATCTGTTAAGTTAAGGGTCTAGGGAGAAGCGGTGAAAAGAAGATGTAGCAACAAAAAGGCAAGGTTTCTTCTGAAGCGTGATGCACTTCAAAGTCTCCTTATCCACAACCTTCAGCCACTCTATATATACAAAACCTGACATTGCCACTTCACTGTCACAGCCACTTCACAGTCCAGAACAGAATTTGAGAGGGCTGTTTTATCCAGGTAACAGACAAGCAAGTCCTTAGCCCTGCTGGCTCTTCATCCAGCCCATTTGCAAAGGGACCCGCTCCTTCATTTCCTGCTGAAGGAAACACATCCAAACATGACACGACCTGTTAGTCCACAGCCAGGACAGGACTTGTAACACACATTCACCTGAACAAAAGAAGATTTTTTTTGTGGTTATTTAGATGTGTTCTTCTATGTGACAAGATGACAGACAGTCAAACAGCCAAGCCATTACCAAAGAAATTAAATCCATTCATTCCCAGAATTCTAAACTACAGCTGACTAAATGCTAACTTGCCAAATCATAAAAAATACCCCACAAGAGATGTTTCTCCTAAGAGAAATGTTTTGTGGAGCCTCCTCTGCATTTTACTTTACCAATCTTAGATAGCTGTGCATTTCCCAACCCATTTTACCTTATTAATTGTTTTTAATAATCACAAATGCTTTTTTACCAAGCAACACATAACTGACTGAACTGTAGATAAAAGAGGATACACGTTTCAGCTGTTAACCAAGGGAAAAAAGGTTCTTTTGGGGGACAATACTCCTGGAACTAGAAGATGCTTCCCACTGTCTGGTGCTAGCTCTTCTCTCCCATATTGCCTCACCTGACATTGCAAAGAATGAGAAGATTCTGGACGGCAGGAAGAGTGGAATTCTCATTCTGTCCTGTCACCAGGTGCCTGTCCAGCACGACGTGCACAGCATCCGGACTGCTGGCTACACCCGGGAGAAAGAGCAACACCCCTTGTGTTAGTGGACACCACCTCAGTTTCAGTATCACACCTCTGGGAGAGCTAACACAGGAGGTAACTATTTTGGTCAGACAGAGCAGCTGGGTGACTGCTAGGTTGATCTGTAACCCCCACAGGTATGGACCATCTTGAGCCCCTGATCCTGAAATGATGTCACTTCAAAGTCCTCTCTGAAAGGACAGCAGGACTGGCCCCTTGATTAAACAAACACCAGATGGGTAAAGTGCATATATCAAGACATTTTCGTAATAAAAGCCTCAAAGTATGAATTTTTTAAGTTGTGATTACCCTGCAATGCAATATAAATCTTTTTATGTAAGACATCAAAGCTGCAATCACCAAACTACAAACAGCCTGCAGGGAGATACTTTCTGGCCAGTTATAATACCCTGATGTGTTAGTATCTACCAACAATGGTTCAGTGTCATTCCAGGCAGAACCATTATTCTGTCAGTAACAAACAACTCCTATTTCCTTCTCCCTCTCTCAGCCACTGACTAAATAGAGGCTAAGTGCCTTCAAACCCCACACACTTTTCCTCTTCTTGCTTCCTCTGTCAGTACCACTGCAACCAAGCACGTGTGATAAAACCACAGCAACACCAGCTTTCAAACTGCCAGGACTGAACCCATTCTACAGAAGGTGGCAGCAGCAGCTCGCTCCAAAAGCATCGAGATCCCGTTTAGACACAGGAGCAGGCCGACAGCAGCACGGATGGAAGAGGATTAAGCAAAGAATGGACAGCAATTTGATAAGAGGGTGGCATTTCTTCTTAGCAAAAAATAGATGCGTGGCATTAGGAGCCCAGTTCTGTTTCCTGTCCGTGCCATCTCTAATCTGGTGACTTCAAACTGTACCAGTTCAAGGGATGGCAACTATCATGTTAAATAAAGAGTGACTTAAATATCACACACATCTCCCATTGTTCTCTTTGAGGAGAGATTCTAAAAAATTACCTAAAAAAAAAAAAAGCAAACTGAATGATAGCTGCAATTGAAGAGAGACATTTATAGCTTATTATTTAATTCTCCCTGTCGCTTTTCAGTATTACAAGAAAGTTTTCCATCCTATTCCAAGTACATCCAAGTGTCCCAGAGCCATTTCAGAGTTCAGACGGTAACTTTGTGACCTACCAAAAGCAAGGTGAGACTGCATCTTGCATTTCAATGAAGCTCTGGGTGTAGATTTTTGATATTTGAAACACAAGCGCCAGACTGTTCACAGAGTTCCAGGTCCTCTTTGGGGCAGAGTTACAAATGATCAGCCTAGAGCAGAGTCTTCAGCTTCAGCAATTTGTATTCATAGCACCAAATATGTGTGTTTTTTTAACAAGCCACAGTTCCCACATCTGTTAAGTTAAGGGTCTAGGGAGAAGCGGTGAAAAGAAGATGTAGCAACAAAAAGGCAAGGTTTCTTCTGAAGCGTGATGCACTTCAAAGTCTCCTTATCCACAACCTTCAGCCACTCTATATATACAAAACCTGACATTGCCACTTCACTGTCACAGCCACTTCACAGTCCAGAACAGAATTTGAGAGGGCTGTTTTATCCAGGTAACAGACAAGCAAGTCCTTAGCCCTGCTGGCTCTTCATCCAGCCCATTTGCAAAGGGACCCGCTCCTTCATTTCCTGCTGAAGGAAACACATCCAAACATGACACGACCTGTTAGTCCACAGCCAGGACAGGACTTGTAACACATTCACCTGAACAAAAGAAGATTTTTTTTGTGGTTATTTAGATGTGTTCTTCTATGTGACAAGATGACAGACAGTCAAACAGCCAAGCCATTACCAAAGAAATTAAATCCATTCATTCCCAGAATTCTAAACTACAGCTGACTAAATGCTAACTTGCCAAATCATAAAAAATACCCCACAAGAGATGTTTCTCCTAAGAGAAATGTTTTGTGGAGCCTCCTCTGCATTTTACTTTACCAATCTTAGATAGCTGTGCATTTCCCAACCCATTTTACCTTATTAATTGTTTTTAATAATCACAAATGCTTTTTTACCAAGCAACACATAACTGACTGAACTGTAGATAAAAGAGGATACACGTTTCAGTTGTTAACCAAGGGAAAAAAGGTTCTTTTGGGGGACAATACTCCTGGAACTAGAAGATGCTTCCCACTGTCTGGTGCTAGCTCTTCTCTCCCATATTGCCTCACCTGACATTGCAAAGAATGAGAAGATTCTGGACGGCAGGAAGAGTGGAATTCTCATTCTGTCCTGTCACCAGGTGCCTGTCCAGCACGACGTGCACAGCATCCGGACTGCTGGCTACACCCGGGAGAAAGAGCAACACCCCTTGTGTTAGTGGACACCACCTCAGTTTCAGTATCACACCTCTGGGAGAGCTAACACAGGAGGTAACTATTTTGGTCAGACAGAGCAGCTGGGTGACTGCTAGGTTGATCTGTAACCCCCACAGGTATGGACCATCTTGAGCCCCTGATCCTGAAATGATGTCACTTCAAAGTCCTCTCTGAAAGGACAGCAGGACTGGCCCCTTGATTAAACAAACACCAGATGGGTAAAGTGCATATATCAAGACATTTTCGTAATAAAAGCCTCAAAGTATGAATTTTTTAAGTTGTGATTACCCTGCAATGCAATATAAATCTTTTTATGTAAGACATCAAAGCTGCAATCACCAAACTACAAACAGCCTGCAGGGAGATACTTTCTGGCCAGTTATAATACCCTGACGTGTTAGTATCTACCAGCAATGGTTCAGTGTCATTCCAGGCAGAACCATTATTCTGTCAGTAACAAACAACTCCTATTTCCTTCTCCCTCTCTCAGCCACTGACTAAATAGAGGCTAAGTGCCTTCAAACCCCACACACTTTTCCTCTTCTTGCTTCCTCTGTCAGTACCACTGCAACCAAGCACGTGTGATAAAACCACAGCAACACCAGCTTTCAAACTGCCAGGACTGAACCCATTCTACAGAAGGTGGCAGCAGCAGCTCGCTCCAAAAGCATCGAGATCCCGTTTAGACACAGGAGCAGGCCGACAGCAGCACGGATGGAAGAGGATTAAGCAAAGAATGGACAGCAATTTGATAAGAGGGTGGCATTTCTTCTTAGCAAAAAATAGATGCGTGGCATTAGGAGCCCAGTTCTGTTTCCTGTCCGTGCCATCTCTAATCTGGTGACTTCAAACTGTACCAGTTCAAGGGATGGCAACTATCATGTTAAATAAAGAGTGACTTAAATATCACACACATCTCCCATTGTTCTCTTTGAGGAGAGATTCTAAAAAATTACCTAAAAAAAAAAAGCAAACTGAACGATAGCTGCAATTGAAGAGAGACATTTATAGCCTATTATTTAATTCTCCCTGTCGCTCTTCAGTATTACAAGAAAGCAGCGTGTAAAGGAAAATGACACTTTTCCCTCCACATCCAGAAATAACCTAGGGAAGAAAAAATGACATTTTAGTGCCTTAATGGATTTAATTTCCCACATGGGCCAGAGCTTCAGATGTTGCAGTTCAAAAGTCAAATTTCTACATTTTGCCTAATAATAATCAAATTACTAGTAACAAAACAAGAAAAATACTACAAAATCAGATCTAGGTATGAGTGAAACACTTGATGGTAAAAGACAACTTATCAGAGGAACCAGAATCACTCAGTATAGAGCCTCCAGCTTTAAATAATGAAACATTTGGTCGAATAAAAGACAATCCCAAAATCCAGAACTTGACCTCTCCTGGCAGAGCACGTGCTCCCTGCCATGCAGCAGGGAAGCAGCTGCAGCACGGTACCTGCATAGAGACATCATTCCCCTGCAGGGCTGGACTCTGCATCTGCAGATTAATGCACACCCCATGTTCTGTTTTCACAGCAGGACACACGACCCCACGTTTACCATGGGGTAAAAGCACAGCCATCAGTGTGCTGTACTGTACTGCCCTACTTCTCCACACGCAGCATTTTGCGGCGTTTATTCTTAGAACACTCATCGTTTCTAATCCACTGGGGTATTTGTTTATATCCACAAAATGGAAATGCAAGATGAGATATCCTGTCAGAATCCTGTTCAGCTGTTGTTAAATTGGCACACAATTTGTCATTTGCAAAAGGCAGCCACCAAACGCAAAGCGCTGGACAATAAGCAAGCGACATACCACTAAATGTAGCTCCAGAATCCTTCACAAAATCTTCTACGATAATGGACAAACTGGCAAAATTAGGCTGCCTTACTAGTTCGTACACGGAAGGCTGAAAAAGATCAAAAGGAAATTAGTCTGTCTTGCTTTTTATAAAAAGAGCCAAGCAAAACCAACACATACTTCCACCTGCAATTTATTTTTTCTGTTCCTCCTACAATTCTCCCAACTGTATATAGGAAATGGAACAGGAGGGAAGCATAAAACCAAATGACCACAGGCAGGATTTTCTGTAGGGAGCAAACTGAAAATTCTTATGCAATATATAAAGAATGACACAAGCAATTTCTGCACATCAAGTGGACGCTGAACAGTTGCACACAATTAACTTCAAGAAAGCACAGATCTGTCCGGCTGTTGGACACAAACATTTTGGACACAAATGATGTGCCACTTGCAGAGGCCAAATAACAGCACTCAGCTTTGGAATGAGTACAGGAAACAGCTTAAATGAAGAGAGAAAAATAAAAGTACTTAGTTTGGATTTTGTAGGCACAGAAAGAACTTTAATTTCATGGTTTCCATAGCGACTGTATCTGGGCCGTATAATGTCATTTATTTTAAATATTTCATCATAGATTGTAATGCCAAATACAAGCACATCGGGACATTGACAGCTTTTGTGAGTCCCATAAACTTAATTTCTTAACTTTGCAGATTCATTTTCAACCCTAGGAGTTGTACTGTAGAGGTCTGCATCCTCTTGGCACACAGGTACAACTGCCATAGGAATGGTGTGTGAGGTGAGAGACTGGACATTAAATAAAACATCAACAGTATCCAGCTACTTTTTGAGTTACAAGCCAGTCTGTACAAACAGCCTTTTTTCCTAAAAATTCCTCTACCTTTTAAAATGAAAAAGCACCTTGAGAAATATAAATTATCTCCAGCATTCATGAAACCAAAAAACGTCATTCTTAAAAGCCCTAAACTATGAATCTGAGGAGCTACAGCAGTCATTTCCAGCATTTCATCGACTCAGTTTAAAGTTTACTGAGCAACTGGAAGAAAAACCACTCTCCCCAGGACAGCTAAGTGAGACAATCCCTTCACACACTCGGTGTTGGGCCCCCTTGCCAATGACAACTCTCTGTATCTTGCACACAAACCAAGGGCACCAAATACATGATTTATGTTTGTAGGAAGTTCTAGGATAAGACCCATCCCCTGAAATCACAGGCACCCGCACAGCAGAAGTCATGTGAAAAGCTCAACCTACCCCTGTGAGGCTGTATCCCTGAAATACCCAGGATTTATCCTCATTGGTGGCACAACACAAAGCTGTGACGCCGTGTCCGATCGCACAAATAGGCTCTAGAGAAAAAGCAAAGCATCTTTGAGAAGCTGTGAGCACCTTCAATTAGCCAAAATACAGATTAGGGTTCATAAGATTCTCCATGGTATAGCACGATATATGCAATAGTTATACTGCACTGTTTATACTCTCTTGGGCTGTAAGGTTTTCCCCCCACACACTACACTAAGAATTGTTCCAGACTTGCAAAGAGTTACCAGCTGTTAACTCTAAGTCCAGAGACAGCACCAGTCAAAGAGAAAAACACATAGTCAAATGGTAAATGAAAAGTACACGTAAGTCTTAATTATGTAAAGCCTTAATGAAGATCCTAGTACACCCCACGTTTGGCTCTGAACCTTGAATCCCACTGACTCGGAGAGAGCAATTTCTGTACCACTGTAAGGCAGAGAACCCTCTTCTGACACAAGCACTGAAAAGCTACCGATATATGGAAATATACATTTACATAAAGAGGACACATTTAAGAGAAGACACGTCTCTCTAAAGCAGCTCTTTCAAGTTCTGAACGCTCTTCAATGATGCAAACATTTCTAAGTCACTGGAAAGTAATAATCTTACACAAACAGTAGATTAGCACTATTTTATTTAAGAAAATATCTAAAGATGTTCACCTACTGTTCTCAGCACTGAAGTGCTGCAGTATCTTAGCCAGGTACCCACTGTTTGCAAGGTCTGTCATAGCCCCAGGGCAGTTTGGGATCAGCAGCGCGTGGTATCTAGCACCTAGTGAGGAGGAAAGGATAAACTAATCACAACACAAGGAACATCCAGAAAGCTTCATCATAAACCCATTTCAGATTGGACAAAATTAAGACAATGCCACAAGTCAGTCAAAATCTGTATCAACTGAATGAAATACAGAAGCGAATACATCTATGTGGAGTAGAGAAAAAGGTCCTTTTCAGCACAAAGAACATACATTTTTAATGAGACATTCTTACACAGGCAAAGCTTAAGCCCACTATGTCTGCTAGCTTCTACTTTAGCAAAATATTTAAGAAAACAACAATATAGAGTGTGTGTATATATACATGTAAGAGAATCGCTAATTCAAGGTAAGACAACAATATAGAGTGTGTGTATATATACATATAAGAAGAATTACTAATTCAAGGTAAAAAAGTAGCAATTGTAGTTGCCAAGACTTCCTCTTAAAATAACAAAAAATAGTAACTGTAGTTGCCAGGGCTTCCCCTTAAAACCTAAGTTTTATGCCTTTTTTTGTGTTGTTCTTCCCTAAAGACCTAACACTAAGAACACTTGTTTCCCTGATAAATGGAGGTGACACACTGACCAACAGCACAGCCCGTACCATCGATGGACTCCAGCTTGGCAGGGTTCGCGTACGGTTTCATACGGAAGTCCTGGATCCAGCGCATGTTGCTCTCGCTCACATCCACAAAATCAATGGATTTTCCCTACGGAAACCAGGGTTCAAGGCTGTCGTTAGTATCCCTGCACAGGCACCCACTGCTTTTCTTGAAGGATGACCATGTGGTATTTTGAGAGACTTTAGCTCTCAAAAACCTGAAGTTTTCCATTTTTCCCACTGAAGTAGTTCTAAATGCCCTCCCTCCACTCTGTGTGTAACAGGTACTAGACAGAGAGATTCAAAGCCATACTACAGGAAGCATGCATTCACAGTAAACATAGTTAAAAAAAATATCCCTGTAAAAGAAAAAAAATCTGTAAAGCCAATAAAACACCTCTCAAAAAGGTTCAGTATAATTCTGTCTCATCAATTGAAGCATCAATTGGTTTCAGACTGAAATCACAGTAATTGTCCATTTTTACTTACCCCAGGAGTTGCAACTTGCAGATTAAAAGCAGAGCTAGCCAGCGTAAAGCAGTGAAGGAAGGACTGGGCTGACACACCTGAAAAAGAGATTCCAACAATTTAAGGACGTATTTTTAATCCCATCCACACTAGTTAATTTAATAAAGTACCTGAGCTTGGTATTTTTGCTCATCTTATAGAATGGAATCATAGAATCATTTTAGTTGGAAGAGACCTTTAAGATCAACAAGTCCAACCATTAACCCATCACTGCCAAGCTACCACTAAAACATGTCCTCCAGCGCTGCATCTCCCAGTAATTTCAGAGGGTTATTTTACAGATGTAAGAAATGCACAGCCTTCCTTATAGGTGAGCTATATATTGAGAAAAACATGATGAAGGTACTCTGCCCAAATTGAGGGGGAATACAGGGTAAGGAAAGAGGGAAGGAAGGGAATTTGGTTTCCTCCAGGTATACATGCAAGCACAGCTCGGCTGTGTGTGCTCAGAAGCAGGTACGTGCAGAGGGGAAAACCAGCAGGTATTCAACTGCACTGTTGAGGGATATTAGCTGTTTAGCTTAAATAAGCATTAATATTATAATAAATAACTTGGGTTTATAGTATGGTGTGATTTGTGCTGTTTGCCTAGCTTTACTTAGCATGAATAGCCAGATTTGCTGAAGCCTTCAGGCCACAAGTTATTTTTCTCAACAATTTTCCTGGCAGATAGTACAGTGCTGCGTTTAGCCTTTAAGTCTGGGAAAGATGTTGATACCACACCGATGTTTTGGTAGTGTTTTTCCCCCAAGTCTGGGGCTCTTCAGTTCTGCAGGTTCTGCCAGCGAGTACTGGTCCACAAAGAACACCAACCAGAAGATTAGGAGGTGACAACCCTGATCTGAAACTGCAAATCAACAAGAGCCTGCCTGAACACTGAAAAAGAATCCAATAATATGTTAGGACACCCCAGACCAAAAATCACCATTGGACTAAAAGTCATGCAGACAGTGCATGAGGGGCAGGTGTTGAGATCACAAGGGTATAATTGCTCAGGGATTTGTTTGTGGTCCCTCTCTTCCACAGAGCCACAGAACTGCCTAAATTAGAAGGGACCTTTCAGACCCAGTCCAATCATCGACCTAACACTGACAAAAAAACATCACTAAACCATCTTTGGAGGCACCCAGCCCAGGCTGTCCTTCCTGCTGTACTTTTCAATTAACTGATTCATTTTATAGAATCCGACGCCTGAAACCGCTGCGGGAAACCTCGGGTCGAGCCTGAGGCAGGAGGAAGGGTGCCCGCCGATGTGTGCGAACCCCCCACACACACGGGCTGCGGATGCCGGGGCAGCGGTTTCCCCTCACAGCTGTGCAGCAGGGCGGGCGGGCACCTGGGCAGGGCAGATGAGCGATTAGAGGAGGCGAACACATCTGTGCACCGCACAGGTGGCGGAGCAGCCCGTCTACCCACCGCCGCGGAGCGGGGCCCGGCAGAGAACCGCGGCGCCCCGCCCCGGGGACCGGCCCCACAGCGTGACCGCCGCACACCCAGTGGGGACCGCAGAGGCCCCGCAGGCCGGAAAAGGCCGCACGAAGGGAGCGCCGGAGCCCGGCAGGACGGGGGAGGGTTTCCCCTACGGGGTTTAATCCCCCCCGAGAGCGTCTCACCCGCGGCGGCGGCGCTGGCGACGATGAGGCAGGTGGGTTTGCCGAGCCGGTCCGACATGGCGGCGGCTGCGGCGCCCGGCGGCGGCGGGGGGGGCCGTCTCCTCATGAGGCCGCGCGTGCGCAGTGGGCCAGGCGCGCGGCGGCGCCTGAGGCGGGAAGGCTGAGAGGCTGAGGGGAGCGGCCATGGCGGGCCGCCGTGCCTTTTAACCCCCGCAGTTAATCATGCCGGCCGCCTGGCGGCACGTCCCACCTGCCTCCGCTCCGCCACCCTGCTGCGGCCGCCACGCTTTATTTCCCCTTCATAGCCAGCGTGGTGGTGTCCTTAGTAGCTCTCCTCAAGCTCTGCTCCAGCAGTACAGCAGTTTTCCTCATCAGGCTTTACACTGGGTTTTGATTTTTTTTTTTGTTAATATTTCATATCTTTTTCCTCCTCGAATTAACACTGCTAGCCAGTAGGACTGAAACACCGAGTGGGGACCACCCCACCTCAGAGCAGGGGAAGTCTGACACCACGTTGTGGGTCAAAAATGTAAAAGCAGACCTTAATGTCAATATGTCAGCTAATTTTTGACCCCCAGCTGAGAGGCCGCATCCAGCTGCGGTGCTGGGCTTCAAACCTCTCTGCTTCCACGACACAACATCTTTCCTCAGCCAACAAAACACCAGGACCCTTCCCAAGAGGCCCAGGCCACCATGGATCATGGTTTATTGCGCTAGTGATGTCTTTGTGACACGTGAAATAATGAGGAGCAAAATTCATTTGATAAAACCAAGCTGGTTTTAAGTTACTGGCTTAAGCCGTTGTTGGCCTAAGCTGCTTTTAAGGGGTTTTTTTTAAGTTATCTCTCAGGTTTTGCTCGTTAAACCTCTCCGCCTCGGGATGAATAGCCCCAAGGATGCTGTGGAGGGACAGAGGGACGTTGTGCTCTTTCACATATCTAAAGAAGCAACAACTAATTATGTTGTATTGGATGGTACAAGATGAACACGGGATCGGGTGAAAAACATGGATGAAGAACTGGGCCATTTCCTGGAGCCGCTGGAATGAGCACCAGAATTGCAAACTAAATAAAGTCGCCTGAACCTTCCTGAAACTGTCCTTCCCATCCCTCTGGTCCCAGATCGCCTTCTTTGTGTGGGCGCTTCATCTTTAACAGGCCATTATTCTTCAGCAAAAATGTTCATTTATTGCAGGTGCCGCTGCTTTCGGTTCTGTGGCTCACCCGGGGAAAAGTAATTTTTGTAAACCTGGTTCAGTTTCTGCCTTTCCATTTTTTTATCTCTGTGTTAGTTTAATAGGTTTATCTCTTGATGGTTGCTAGTGTATGACAAAGAGAAAATGCCATTATAAAATAAATGTGATGGTTGCTAGTGTATGACAAAGAGAAAATACCATTATAAAATAATAGATATAAAATGAAGACAGTACAATTCTGCCATTATTTTTGTTTATTTATTTATTTACTTATTCCCAGCCTGGTTTCCCAGAGGAAATGGAATTTATGCCGCCAGGCTCTCTGCTTGTCCGTCGCTTCAGTCATTTGTCTGTCTGTCTCCTTTCCTCTCCAAAAGTGTGTTCTGATGCTGGAGGCTGGTTAACTGCAGAGATACCGGGATGTTCCTCCCTCTTTGCTCCAGTTTAGCTACCAGAAAATGATTTTTTAGATAAAAAGCAAACCCAAAGCCTATCTTTTGCTATTCAGTTTAGCTGCCACACAAGGGACTTCGTGCCACTCCTGAGCCCTGATGGCACAGAGCATCATGTTAATGCTCCTTATTCCTCGCTTGTGAATCCGATGGTTAATTTTCTGTCTCCAAGAGCAGAAAGGAAGCTGCCTTCTCAACTCCTGCTCCATGAGATTTAAAGTGAAGACACAGAAAATAAATGCAATGCGTGTGAGAGCATCCCCAGCTGCTGGGAGATTAAATTATACATTGATATCTTAATAATTGATCTCCACTGCTCAGTAGGTGCCAGTGCCTTCACATCACCAGAGCACCCTTTGCAAACGCTCTTCTGCTGAATTCTCTCCCAGCAAGTGCCAGATACGCTTCGCAGCCCCTTCTCTGCTTAATTGGGGAGGTTAGCAAGCACCAGCAGTAATTAGGACCGGGGCAGGATCACGAGGACAATGTAAATTATTGACTGCTGCTGGTTTTGATAGTGCCTGGGTATTAGGGTTACATTAAACCAGCTGAGGGCTTCCTCTGCCAACCCAGCCTGGTAAAACATAACCCCAGCCTTTCTTGTTTAAAGTGCAGGGATTTGGCACCGCATCATTTTCTGTTGTTAAATGATGGCTGGAGTAGAAGGGAGCAGGGAAAAGCAATGCATAGTTTAAGATAATTGTAAACACAGCCTCTGCTATTCCTACCTTTTAGCTTTCTCTAAATACCTGGAGGGACATAGACGAAACAGGGAAGGGGTGGGTGGAAGACACCCAAACCAGTATCTGAAAGCCCTGAGCTTTGCTCTCCCAGTTGGCACCACAACCGCGCTGACGTGCCTGTGCTGCTGCCGGCTTTGGCAGCGAGAAAGGAGCCACATTATTTTTTTGTTTGAAGAAAACACTTTTTTTTTTTGTTTGACGGCTTTGGCAGCGAGAAAGGAGCCACATTATTTTTTTGTTTGAAGAAAACACTTTTTTTTGTTTTGTTTGAAGGAGACAGGACAGGAAGATTCCTCAGCCCGATCCCCCTTCTCTCCAGCCAACGAGCGGCAGAGGAGGACACTTTTTGCAGGTGCCTCCGCTGATTCCAAATCACCAGGGAACCTTCCCAGTTGGAGTGTTGCCCGCTGCTGTCCATCCCTGCCACCTCCACACCTTCTTCTGTCAAGAGATGGGCCAGGCTTTCGCTGGAAGAGGGATGAGGAACGGAAGAAGAACCTCAGCTCCTCTGAAGCCGTGCTGTCCCACAGCCCGGGCAGAGCTGCCATCTCTGCCCAGACAGCTCATCCACACCGCACTGGCCCAACGTATGCCCTATTTCCCACACCCTAACTGGGAACAGTGGGGAGGGCCAGGCATCTACCCATCGCAGCTTCTCCGAGGCAGGATTTGGACTCAGAAAATAATTTATTCACTGATTCCAAATCACCAGGGAACCTTCCCAGTTGGAGTGTTGCCCGCTGCTGTCCATCCCTGCCACCTCCACACCTTCTTCTGTCAAGAGATGGGCCAGGCTTTCGCTGGAAGAGGGATGAGGAACGGAAGAAGAACCTCAGCTCCTCTGAAGCCGTGCTGTCCCACAGCCCGGGCAGAGCTGCCATCTCTGCCCAGACAGCTCATCCACACCGCACTGGCCCAACGTATGCCCTATTTCCCACACCCTAACTGGGAACAGTGGGGAGGGCCAGGCATCTACCCATCGCAGCTTCTCCGAGGCAGGATTTGGACTCAGAAAATAATTTATTTGCTCTCCTGCTCTTAGGAATATCAAAGACAAGCTAAAACGTGAGTCCTCAGCTCAGAAATCTTGGATAATAGCATGATATAGGGGAGGTTAATTAGTGCATTAAGCCATCTTTACCATTCGTGATCACCAAGGTGTTCATGAATGTAGGAGATGATCTTCATAGAAGCACAGAATTATTCAGGTTGGAAAAGACCCTTGGGATCATCAAGTCCAACCATCAGCCCTACTCTACAAAGTTGTCCCCTACACCATATTCCCCAACACCACATGAAGGCTTTTTCAACTAAAGGCTGCCCCTTTTCCTGACCCCAAGGAGTTTACAATATTTGTCTTCCCAGTTCTCAAGAGATTCCTTTCCAAAAGGCTGCAGACTTCGGCAGAGACCCTGCTCGGAGCTGGTGTGATGTGCCAGCAGTGATGTGTGCTGCTGAAACCCTCCTCCCCTCTGGCAGGAATCCACCCCTGGCTCAGGCTGATGTGCAGGGGACCCTTCTTGGTGCTCAGGGGTTGGTTTGCTCCTTGTGAGGACAGGTGCTCCCGGGCCAACTTTAAACCCAAACCAGGGAGATGGGAGCACACTCTGATTTGACACGGGAGAGGTGAGAGTTTTGTGCAGCAGGAACAGGGGATCGCCCATCCAAAAAGTTTCCTCTGGCTCTGGGTAAATCATTTAATTATTCTACACTTTATTTCCTATGTGGGAATAACGATGTTTTTCCTTTGCCTGCTTTCCTTAGCCAGGCTGGTGTTTTTTGGGGGCAGGGACTGCCTTTTCTTCCAGGTCTCCCTGGGCTCATTCATCCTAGCAAATAATGAGCCTGCAGGAAACTCGGCCACGAGTAAGGAGTGAGAGGTAGAAGAGCCATTTTCACTCAGGCACCCACATACACGAAGATGCTGACATGAGGAATTATACAATATCTCTATGTGTGTATATATATCTCTATATATAGTTTATTTCTCACAATCCTGGTAAGAGTTACAGGTGTATTGGGAATAATTTACAGTTTCACAGCATATGGAGTGGCCATACAGCTTCTGATGTGAGTAACATACAGTGTGTAGAGAGCACACGTTTCCAACCCATCCACCCACCACTCATACAATGGGTTTTCAAAGCTAATACTAGATTCAGCTACGTAGAAAGCCTGGAAAATGTCAGGGTACAGCGTTGGGTGTCGTACAACACTGTCAGTCACAATGGGACAAGCTAAACTACTTTAATTTTCAATCTAGTATTTCTAGTCTACCTGCATTATTGCATTTATACGCTTTTTTTTTTTTAAGTCAAAGTAAATAGAATACTATATGGGAAAGGAAAAATTCTTGACTATTTTAGGATTTGAGCTGCAGCCCATACAAAGTGTCCATAGAAGCATAGACAAGATTATAAATTCAACAAGGTATAAATTAGCTGTATAGCTTTGTGTGTAGGTAGGTGTCCATTTCCCTCCAGGAAATGTGTCTAGCAGCATATTGTTTCTGAAAGCAAAAAAAAAAAACCCAAAACCAAACCAAACCTGTATGTTTGAACACAGGTAAATGTGTGTAAGTGACAAGCAGGTCTGTTTGTACAGGGAAAAAAAATCAAGGTGTCACTCTGAAAATTACCATCATTTGGAAAACACGTTCAGGGGCTGACTCAAAACCCACCGATGTCCTTGGGAAAATGCCTCAGGCTTCCAAGGGAGCAGCAGGCATTTCCCAACTGACTTCTGAGGGCTTTGGATCAGTCCCTGGAAAAGTAACAAAATCTGAGCAAAGTGAAAGAAAAAAAGAAAAAAAAAATCCCCTGTAATCTGACCTTCGAGTTCCCTTTCTACAATTTGAGTTTCTCCACAAGTTTGTAAACAACCTGCACCTACCACTAGAAGAGAGTTGGTTTTTCGCTGGAGAGTTGAGATTGCACCTTTTGAAGATTTCAATCGAAAGGGTCCTAACCAGTAACTCGGGAAAAGGCACCAGGTTGAAGAAGGGCTGCTCAAAACTTAGTAAAGCCAAATTATTCACTTGTTGGTTGGTTGGTTTGTTTTTTTAACGTGACAAAATTGTATGGCACCCTCGTTCTTGTCAAATTGCCCCGGAAACTTGACTACTTGAAGCTGCTGCGGCAAAAACCAGGGATACGATGCAGGTCTTTACTGTTGCAAAGGTGATTGAAGATTCCTCTCTTCCCTCTGGGGTTTTTTGGTTCTGTAGCATCATTGTGCACAGACAGAAAGAACCTGGAACTTTATTTTTGGCGTGCTGTGCTGACCTTTGCGTCAGGAGGCATGGAAAAAGAATGGAAAGGTGAATTTCAAGCTGGGAGCAGCTGAAGGAGAAACGGGAGCAGGAGTAAGGTGTTGGTCCAACATGTTGGAGCCGAAACGGGGCGTTTGGAAAGCCAGGGGGTGTGATCTGTCACACCTCTTGCAGGCTGTGGGTATCAGCTAATTAGCATGGTTAATGGAATAAGCTGGGAATTTTCAAGGCCCTGCAGTCTTGCATTACTGCATCAAATGGTAACACGCGAGCGGCCCATTCCAATAGAAAAATCCTTGCAGGTTTCTGTGTGTCCTCATTCCTGCAGCTGATGGGAGGTGAGAGAGATGCCACACACCCTGCACAGGAGCTGATTCTTCAAGGCCAGCAGAAGTGGAAATCATTGACTTCTGCTGAGAGCCAGCTCGTGAGTGCCTGAGACCCCTCTTCTGCTCCTGTATTTTCCATGCTCCAGTAGCTGGAGGGCTGCAGAAGCACTAGATTCACCCAAGTGTGGTGTGTCCTTGTGTCAGCAGCTCTGGAGCCACCAGAATTCCTCACACCTGACTGCCAGGCGGGCTTCCATCCTGAGCAGAGCTTGTGGCCACTGACATGGAAGAGCAAGGACAAGAAAGGGACCTTCCAGCTGTGATTTTTTTTCATCCACTGAGTTTCTGTGGCAGATTCAGACCCTCAAGCCTGAGCGATGAGGGCAGAGGAAAACTTCACACGTCGCTGCCACAGTCTCTGCATGCCCCTTAGGTTGATGAACATTGCCTATATCTTTTGGGTGGAGATACCCAAAATCTGCCCCAGCCTTGGGGCAGGGTTTCTGCCCAGCTGTGGAGAGGCCACATCTGCAGAGTTGCCTGGGAAGAAAGTAGGAAAGAGAATACAGTGCAGGAGCCAAAGCAGCAGAAAAGAATCAGAGCTCCAGAAATCAATGGAGCCACGTAATCTGTAGCAGTTGAAGATCTGGCATGAGCAGCCAGCCTAGGAATTTGGGCATTAAAAAGGAAAGCAGGTCACAGGGCTGGACTGATGATCTAAAAGAGAAGAGGAAAAAGTCATTATAAAACCCCTTTGCTCAACAGATTAAGTTCCCCAGGGCCAGCCAATCAAGGTAACGTGATCTGAGGTAACCACAGCGAGATGCAATGAGAGTCATAGAAAAATGGTGTTGGACAGACCCAGCTGAATGGCACCTGGGGCATGTTCCAAGCCAATGTCTCGGTCACATCACAGTACCCTCAACAGCACCTTGCATCATCCTCCAGGCTGCTCGATTCAAGATAACCTAGCTCACAGACATCAACTTTCTGTGGAGCTACCTTCAGTTTGATGAACCTAAATTAAGCACCTTCTCATTTTTGCCATGCATTCACCATGACAGCTAAGATATCTTAGTCTGTGCTTTGCCCTTAATGCTGCTTAAAAAAATAACTTCCCGCTAATGAATAAGTAATACTTCAAACAGATAAACTTCAGGAGAGAACTAATTTTCAGTTGAATGAGGACAGGAGAGGTTTTAAGAACGATAGGCCAAAAACCGGTCGCTTGCAGGAGAATTTTTAGGGAGGACTGAAGCTAGGCTGAAAGCAGAGTGGCAATATTTAATTTAATCCCCAGGACTAGGCAGACCCTGCTCCCTCTGCTCTCTCCTGGCTTCTTCACAACCTGCAGAGCACAAATCCTGGAGTACGTGGGAGGTGCCACATCCCCTGGCCCAGAAATGGCTGCACAGGCTTCATCGCTTTCTGCACCGGAGTTGTTGCCACCCAAGTGCCACTCATCAGACCAAAAATGTGCAGACAGCCCAGGTCAGACCTTCAACGTCAGCAGATTTCTCCCTGAAAGAGTAAAAGACCAAATACCTCGGGGGTAAATATCAGGAAATATGCTGATTCCAGCTTCCTGCACTGAGAATTTAACTAGTTTGCCCAGGAAAATGGTTGAGGCACCATCCCTGGAGGTATTCAAAAGATAGGTAGACATGGTCCTCAGGAATATGGTTTAGTAATTTTTATGTCCTATTTCTTATTTATTTTTTTGTCAGAGTTAGGTTGATGGTTGGACTAGATGATCTTTAAGGTCCCTTCCAACCTAGACAATTCTATGATTCTAATTTAGGTTCGGAATTTTTATTATCCAGGTCAAAGCCAACCCTGTTCATGAAGGGAGCTGCCCAACCTGTAAACCAGAACTGTGGTGGGTTTATGAAAAAGACTACGTGATGTGGTTGCCTGCCCCTACAGAAGGTGGCTCTTCCTGACCTTGGAGATTTCTTCTGGCCCCATGATGAAGGGAATGAGACCACGATAAGATGCTCCATGGCTTGGGAAGGGAACCAGCTTCCCTGCCCTAGTGTGATGGCACAGACCAAGAGAATTGAAATGCGAGTAAAGTGAATTTTCAGGCCTTTCCTTAGCAAAGCATGTGAAGAGAGAAATCAGCCTTTCAAAATGCCCAAATCATAAAGTTGCAATTTCCCTTAATCGTACAAAGTTGGTTGCAGGAAACTTCAAGTCTTTTTCTTGCTTCACTAACCCTTTAATATTAAACAGAACCAGCAAAAATTCGTTTGGAAAAGTCAGTTAGCAGAGGTTAATTTGCATGGCATCAGAGCTGCTCATTTTTGCTTTTGTCCAAGGAAAAAGAACTGGATAAAAGTTAATGTATCCTTATCAAAACTGTTCAGATAGTGAAATTGGGCTTTTCTTCCTCTGTTTCTTGTACCCTCCCAGAAGCACTGGCTTGCAGCTTTCTGTAGAGCAGATTGGAATTTCACCTTTCAAATGCATTTTTTTCATCGCCTTCCTTTTTTTTTGCTTTGTTTCTTGAAGAACATTTTTTTCTCTCAATCTTCAGGACTTATTTTTAACCAATTCTAAGAATAGATGGATTTCTAAACCCCAGTGGCATTTCCAGGAAAGGAAAGGAAGTTTTTAAGGCAGAAATCATCTCTCTCTAACTCTGGGTTTATTTTAGTGACACTGTTGTTGTTTATACACAAATTCTAACAGAGGTATAAGCACAGCCACACTGTTGTTGTTTATACACAAATTCTAACGGAGGTATAAGCACGGCCACCTCGGTTAATATCAGAGAAGACTTTCCTCACACTCAGCAGGAATGTTTTTGTCAGTTTTTAAAAGAAACAGTGCCATTGAGCTGATTTTACACTTTGCAATGACCTGCAATCGTATCCCTGGTGCCGGTAAGGTCTCAAAGGCCTGAGCAGAGCATGGTGAAGCCAATGGAAAAATCCCCCTTTGTTTTCGGTAGCCTATGGATCAACCCCCAAACCGTGATTGGGCAGAGACATAAACCCATTTATTAATTTATGGCTCAACCTGAGGGAACTAAGAAGTGCTTCGGGGCAAGTGACTGTTCAGTGCTTTGAGTGTGACCCCAAGAGGTGAACAGCACCTGCACGAGCGCATTCTTACCCTCCTGAAAATGCTGCATTATCCTTTGGCTTCCGGGTTTGTTTGCCTCCTACTGCAGAGCTGTTAGGAATAATGAGACATCCGTAGTGTGTTAAATCAGTAGAAAGAGGAAGCAGAAGTATAATCCATTTCATCTTTCTTAAAGCTAGAAGCATCAAAAAACCTTCTACTGAGTTGTCCAAGAGAGCGCAATGACATCTTTATATTCGACTAAAACTTGTGGCTCCTTAAAATAGGTTGAGATCAGGCATAGTAATTGAATTTATAGTTTTAGTGATAAGCTAGGAGGTCTGAAGTCAGTTTAGCAAATTTATAATTTATAAACCTTATCAAAAGAGTAAACTAGCAATCTAGATCTCTTCAAATCCCAAGCACAGAATCTGATTAGTTTTAAGCGTTAGTTCATTCTCCCCACGGAGATATCACTAGAAGGACTTCATATCACAAACACCACACAAAGAATAACATCAAGCAAATAACGGCGTGTGCTCAGTACGAGAAAAGACAACTATTTATTTAGCACAGCGAGTTCAGTCATTTAAGCCTTCTGCTTCCACAAATTTGGTTTCAATCTCGCTTCGATTCTGAGAGAGGTGAATTTGCTCTTCTCAGCCTAGTTCTCGCTGGACATTTATTATTATCGGTTGGTTTGTTGTTTCAGCCTAGTTCTCGCTGGACATTTATTATTATCGGTTTGTTGTTGTTTGTTTTTGTTTTTTTCCTCAAAATGAAGCCACCGCACAGCCTGGCACGTTAAGGCAGAACAGGAGGTGTTTGCTAAAAGGATTTGCAAGTCAGGACTGAAGTGCATTTGCCCCGGCTGCGAGCTCAGGAGCAGGGATGGCATCTAGGCTTGATCTACCTGACTCCCATCGACACTAGACCCACACTTGGAAAAGCGCTACAGCACAGTCCGGTATAGTCTAAAAAGTGCCTTATTTTAAAGCGAGTAGCCCACACGACTATCCAGGGAGGGGAACAGTAATTTTTGAGCTTCTAGCACAACGGGCACATCGTACATTCAGCAGTTCACTAGCCATACATTCTTTGCACTGAGAAGAAACCGGGACCGAAAAAGGAATTGAGGTGCTGCATGGCATGATGCGGATGGCACGAAAAAAGACACCACGGACACTTTGTGTGAATGCAGGGGAACACGTGAAGGGTCGTCTCCGGGTTGATTTGTTCTCCCCCCCACCTCCAGACTGCAGTAATATAAACATATACGTATGTATACATACATATGCAGAATATTCTTCAAGGTGAGGTGGTGTATACACACATACACACACACACAGAGGTGTTTTCTAAGCCAAACTGCCAAAGAGGTGGGTTCCAGGTGGTGAATCTGGACAGCAGACAGCAACGCAAGCAGCAAGTCCCTTGTGAAGAGGACATGCCATGGTCACTGTCCAGGAAGGGTTCGCAGGTGGTTACACCCTGCCATGAGGAGCTGCAGTCCCATCACCAGCTCCGTGGTGTGTTTCTGGATGGAATTGCATCTGAGGTCTCTGAGGGCAGGGGGGGGTCAGGGGCAGACACAAATGGTTAAGGCCCACGTTGGCTGAGAACTGTTTTTCCTCTCTTCTGCTCCCAAAGGTTAAGTCAAGGAAATAAAAACACTTCAGAAAGTAAAATAGGAGATTTGAATGAAGCAGGTGTTTCTTTTTCCTCCTCCTGTATCTATCTACTCTGGTCGGGACAGAATAGATAGATGCTACATCTATAATGTCACGCTGCTAAAAAAACATATCACCATATGCTGGGGCTGAGAGGGATGGAACAGAGGGGATGGGCAGAAGCATCTCCTGAAGACAGACCTCCCTCTGGAGAACAGCAGTCGCTCTCTGAAAATCACCACCCTACTCCGGCAAAACATGAATCAGAGCAGGAGCAGCCGATTTCCCTTCCTCATGGGAATGTAAGCAAATTTTCCCTACAGCCAAGAGCTTTGTGCTCCAGAGAACTGAAGGAAGGAGAGGCCAGAACCCCACATCCAAACCCCAGTAGTTTGGATACGTTGCTCTGTACCCAGCAGGCACACACCTCCCAGTCATGGAAATCGGGTTCCTGGCTCGTGCATCCAAATTCCCCGTGTGGGGAAGCAGAATGCATGGCTCAGGGGGCAAGCAGGAGGAGGGGGGAGCTGGTATGCAGTGGGGTCTCTCCCCAGTATGCCAAGAGGATGTGCCCATCAGGGCCTGGGGGCTCAGCAGCACCCCCAGACCCTCAGCAGAGCTCAGCACCCTCCCCGTGTCCTCTGCACAGCCCCACTGCAGCCACTGCGAGGGAGCTGTGCTGGAACTGCTGCTGACCTATATTCTCTTCACATCTTTGCTTTCCAAATGCCTCTTATACACCCTTTTCTATTGCTTTCCCTCCCCAGAAATAACCTCTGAACACCTACAGAAGAGGATAAGAGGAAATCAGGTCCTTAGACAAAAGCGGCATTTCAGAAACACCTCCTTATGGACCCTCCTGCTTCAAATCAAAAATATTCTCCAGGCTGTGACATGCTGCTACTAGGAGACACATCCACAATCCACACAAATTGCTCTTCAAACCCCCAGGATTTCACCTGGGGCTGCAGCGCTCGTTCCAAGAAACCACTGGGACTCCACCATGCCCACCCCCTGTCTCTGCACGGCTAAAGGGCGAGGTAGACATTGAGCTTCAGCTTCATCAGAAAACACTATCTGACATCCCCAGGGGCCGGGTACCCTGGGGTGTGTTTTAGGAGCCTGGGGGAAAAGAGGATGACAACTCTCACCACAGGAATGGCCAGGGCTGCGTAAAAACAACCTTTTGTTTGGGGAAGCCACGTGCATTCAGCAGACCCAATCTGGAGGTAAATAAGACAGACGTGAGCCAAGAGGAGAATTGCCAGATCAGGTTATACACCCCTAATGTCCCATCCAGCAATCTCACCCAGCAGATACCATCTTTCTCTGGCCCTCTACCCGCTGAATTCATACATCCAGGCCCAGCTAAAGACGTGTGACTGAGGCTCTTTAACTGAACTCACTCCACACCGTCACAGCCTCTTGCTATTCATCACTCCAAAACCCTGCCCGTGGGGCTGCAACCGCTGCCACCCAGCTCCAGAGACTCTGCGGTTCTGACCTTGCCTAATTGCTGATCTAATTTAAAAACAAAATGTAAGGGTTGGGTTTTTCGGGGTTTTTTTTACATGACCCTTTTTTGCAGTAGCGCAGCAGCCACGAGCAGTCTCACGGAAACTTTTAGAGTAAGATCTGCCCACTTCTTGGTGTTAGGGGAAGGGCACTCTCTCTTGTCACCTGCCTTCCTTCTCCCCTTCACAAGGTCTGCCTTTAGAGCCAAGAGTCTCACCAATGAAACTACGCTGTTCCCGAGGACTGGGAATTTATTTCCATTTCCAAAGCTTGGAGGAGTCACAAATCCCTGCTATTGTCATAGGAGGGAGGTACGAAATCCCCCCAGGGACACACTTCCAGTGTCCTTGAACAGGGTTTCCCCAGTATAAAGCAGATCAGAGAATGGTTTAGGTTGGAAGGGACCTCATGGAGGATCCCATCAAATCAGAGAATGGTTTAGGTTGGAAGGGACCCATCAAGGATCCCATCAAGAAGGATCATCCAGTTCCAACCCCCCTGCCCTGGGCAGGGACACCTCCCACCAGACCAGGTTGCTCCAAGCCCCATCCAGCCTGGCCTTGAGCCCCTCCAGGTCAGTCTTATTCCCATGGAATCCCAGGTCCTCTCTGCCCCTAAACCCAGCTCATGCCTCCACTTTTTCTACCTTCTCCTGCACCGAGACACCATAGCCTTCAAAGGGAAACAAAAAAAAAAAAGCAGGTGAAAGGTCTGATCCAAATCCCAAAGAAATGAACAGAAAGAGTCCAGCTGCCCGCGAGGGTGTTTGGGCTGAGACCTCAGCGTTCCGCAGAGCCCAGCCTAACTTTAGGAAATACTAGATCCAAAACAAAGTCTCTCTCTCCCCAGATGCTGCCCGGACAACCTTGGTGAGCCACAGGGTCCTGGAGACTGCCTGCCACCACACGAGAAACCAAGGAGATGGCAGCTGCTCTCTGCCTGAAGTCAGCGTGGGACTTGGCCAGGTACCCCCACGGGCTGCTGGCCACGCTGTCGGTCGCAATTGGTCCCCTCTGCTCTCACCCCCCTGGCAGCTCGGCCGGAGAAATGACTTGGTGTGATGTCCCAAGTCACACATTCCGCTCTACCAGGCTGCAGTCTCAGCCTCCAGCTGCCTGTTTTCTCTGGGGCGCTTTTGAGTTGGGTTTTTAGAGGTCGGTGGATGAGCAGCAGGGACATGAGACACCTATTAAAGATGACACTTTGCTCTTTGGGTCAAGGAGCCACCTTTTGCATGCGTTTGCCCAGCGGTTCCCCTGCCCCAGGGGGGCCCAACACATGGCGACAGGCAAACTGGGTCTTGACACTAAGCTCCATCTCCCCTTACATCTGCTTTACCACAACCCAACCAAAAAACAAACCAAACAGAAACCTGAAACACAAAGCAGGGACTCTGGATGGGACGTAGAACACTTTGGACTCCAAAACAAGGGACTGCAGGAGAGGTGAGGGGGTGTCTCCCAGGGAGGACGGCAGGGGGAGGGGAGGGGACACCGCCATTTACACCGATCAGGAGAAGCTGTAATCTATACACAGTGGTATAAGCCAAGATATATTACATGAAAGAACACACTGAGTGCATGGAGTTACCCACACCGGGTCAAACTGGCACAGTCGTCTTCAACAAGACTCTTGGAGTTGCAGTTGGTGTGTTGTTGTTGACCTATCTAGCTCTCTCTCTCTCTATATATAATAGATATGTATAGAATTTCTCGGCATGCATTTGTCTCAAAAGGAGCTGTACAGCTGGGTTGGGTTTCTCATCCCCACCCCGGCTCCGTCTTCATTTTTTCCGGGCTAGGAACGCCACTCCCACAATCACAGCCAGCGCGGCCACCGCCACTCCTCCCACGATGATCAAGGGCTTCATGTTGTCGAAGATGCTGCCTGGAGACTCCTCGGAGCTGTTTCCCTTGTGGTCAGAGTCAGGGGACTGGCCGGTGGCCTCTTGCGTCTCGGTGGCGGCGGGGCTGGGTTTCAGGTTGCTGTGGTTGTTCACGACGGCAGCGGCGTCGCCGCCCGCCTTCTTGGTGGCAGCGGCAGGAGCGGGCTGCTCTTTGGGGACCTCCTTCTTGTCTGCATTCGTGGCAGGCCCAGGGTTGGGCTTTTCTGGCTTTCCAGAGCTGGGGGCCTTGGCGTCGGGTTTGTTTCCGCTTCGGACGTTGCCTTTGGAATCCATCCCTACGAGTGCCGTGGGCAGCGACTGGATACGGGGCAATCCCGGTTCTCCTCCTTCACCCAGCTGCTGGAGAAAGCAGAGGAGCCACTGGAGAGGGACAGCTCAAGCCCTTGGAGTGGTGGTGGTGGGATGATTCTCACGCTGGCCGTGTCCTATCTGGGCATGATACAGCACCTGGAAGAGGAAGCAGAGCAGCGAGAGGTGAGTGAAAGGACAGAGCTAGACCATACTGTTCCACCTGGAGGCAATGGAGGAGGACAGAAGACAATTGGAAGACTGTTGGCTGTTTCTTTAGCAACTGTGAGAGGTACTGAAAGCATCTACTAGAGTTCCTGCACTTGGGAGAACATCAGACAGCTCAGACTAGCACCAATGGCTGCCACAACTGGGCTCCATCTGTAATCAAGACAAGTCCTTCCTGGCCATGGATATAACATCATTTGTCAGTAACAACATACACTTCTGTCCAACCAAATAAATGATTTTTCACTTGCTTACCACGGCTGCCATCCCCCTGCGTGAAGAGAAAACATTTTGTTGCACAGGAAGCAAATCAATGGCTTCTCCCTGCTTGTAACTCACCCTCTGCCCCTTCTCTTCTGCAGTGTTATCCCAAGTTAAGTTTAGGAAGTGGTTAATATGTGATTTTGTATGATACTCTCCACATCCAGATGGGTACTGCAGAGAGGAAACAGGATTAGCTCCTCGGTTTTAGGTGCCAGAGCCCCAAGGATTAGTGCTGGGAGCATTTCTGGTGAGCTGTGGCACAGAAAGGCGAGCGCCAGATCCTCAGCCGGTGCAAACCAGTGCATTGACACCAGCACAACCACCTGAATTTACTGGAAAGCTGGGTCTCACGGTGATGGAGACATCTCCCACCGCCTCCTCCTTGCAGTGGTGAGCTGGGCTTGCCCACGGAGCCGAGCAGGGTGGCAGCTGTTACTGCAGGTAATTAGCCAGAGCCATTTTCCCCAGGGAACCGATGGAAGCAGCGAACGGCACGGCTGCATCCAGAGAATTCAGCAAACGGACAAAGCGGGCTTCAAAGGATGATAAAACAAACACCACAGACATCTCCCCAGGTATTGCTGGGCAGGGTGAGCCAGGAGATGGAGGTCAGAATCACAGAATCTTCTAGGTTGGAAGGGACCTTAAAGATCATCTTGTCCAACCGTCAACCTCACTGACAAAAATAGACACCCCCACAACAAACAAGGAGCATCATCACTAAACCATCCCTCCCAGCACTACATCAACCCGGCTTTTGAACACCTCCAGGGATGGGGCCTCAACCACCTCCCTGGGCAGCCCATTCCAAGGGCTGAGAACCCTTTCAGTGAAAAAATTTTTCCTAATATCCAGCCTGAATTAATCCCTATCTAGGTGGAAACGCTGGCCTGGGGGAAAGCTACTCACAGAAATACCAGGTTTGGGTCCAGAGCAAAGCTGGGAAACACTTTACAGCTTGGTATAAGATGGAAACCCCCACCTCCTGCTCTTCCATGTGAGCTGTTGTTTGATGGCCACCACCACCTTCCCCAGTGACACTTAACTGGAGCTGACTGAGGGAAGGCAGCACCGAAATGATGGAAGTCCATAGCTCTCATGCTGCACCAGGCAGGGTGACCACGATGCCAGCACACCATAATGCCAACCTTTCAGCCAGGCTTTTTGGCATAGCCCAGGAGAGTAGCCTCAGCTCTTCCCGTAGCACGGAGATGGGACAGACACTTCCAGAAGGCTTTCCACAGACCTACCTGCCACCCCTCCCTTAGAGAGGATGCATTTAGCTATTGCCGAGATGAAGCCTGAAGTCTCCAAAAGGCATTAGGTGATCCAAGCTGGCCAGTTTTGAAATAAAACATTGAAAGACAAGAAGCAGATAACCTGTCCCTGGGATTTCATATCCAGCGTTAGGCAGGGTAGCTGCTCCTCTGCCTTTAGATTTTCAATTCAGTTCTAACTCTGAGCTCTTCCCATGGAAAGGAAAAGAAGAAACCAGATCTTCACTCGTTTAAAAACCAGCAATCAGATTTCTCTAGCAGCCCTACATGGGCCAGATCTGCTCTGGGTGTTAAAAAAAGCACAGTCTCTTTGACTGCAGTTGAGCAATATCTACATTTCTGAGTTTGTGATAGTAAATAATTTTGGAAACCCCAAACCACCACCGCTCTCCCCTCAAGCTTCACTGAAGGTGTATCATACACTGGGGTATCTCATACCACACAAACACAATCCCAGAAGCTTGAGACCTTCTCTGTAGCTTGTGACGTGGTAGATAAACATGTGGGACCTGGCCAAGAGCAAGAATATTTCCCTCTCCATGCTCGTTTTGCCTCACTTTTTCCTTCCTACTGCCTCCAAAGAGCATTCAAACTGCTCTGCCCAGTAGAAATCCTGTGCAGATCTGGGGCTGAGGCTGTGCACGGTCCCTCACAGGACTCTGCTCCTCTGGTTTGGGAGCAATTTATCCTCGTTTTACACCTCCACACAGTAAGTGGAGCCCAAGATTGAAGCAGGCTTAGAGGTTAAAGCAGGGAGAATCGGATTCAGCATGTCATAAATATTAAATTACCTGCTTAGTCGCTCTGATATCAATTAGCCAGGCTACTCACACGCTCTCTAGTATTTGTGTAGTTATACTATAGGAACTGAGCATTAAGTTCTTGCTGCTTTCCATAGGAAAACTTCTATGGAGCCTATGGAGATGGTAGGGTCAATCACAGAAGGGGCAAACTCACCTCTGCTAAGAAATGGGGGCTCTGCACGGCTCAAGTACCTCAATTTCTCTGTATCCTCTCTCATTTGCACCTTTTGTGGACCAGAGCTGGTTTCCAGACTCCTGGAAGCAGGAAAGCTGGTTTCTCTCAGAGCCTCCGCTGTGCCCTGCACTGCTCCCCACAGCTCATTAAAGAACTTCTTGGTTTCTAAGCCAGTTTCCACTAAAAACAAAGCAAGCCCTTCATGAAGGTTAGAGAAGGTTTTAAGAGATGTAGAAACGGAACTCAGCCAAAAAAAATAAAAAAATCAATATCAGTAGTTCTTAAGTGTCTGCGTGAAAGGGCTTTCTGTCGGTGGTTTTCCATCACTGGAATTAGCCACAGCATTGCCAGCATCTCCCCAGACCCTTTGGCTTGGTTGAGCTGATGCTGTCAAACACTGCATTTGAGAAGATCCAGCGCCCCTCCTGCCCCCCACGAGACCCTCCAGTCCCCTTCCAGCCCCCCCAACCCTTTTTCTCCTCCTCTTCCCTCATTCCATCACACAAAGTTTTCCCTCTAATGAGCTGTTTCTCCACCTTTGCTTTCTTCTTTATAGCTCTCACATCTATTTATTCCTCCCTCCCTTCTCCTCCTTGGTTGCTGTCTCTGCTGTCTACCCATTCCTCCCCCTTCCAGCTCCCTCTCTGCCTCCCACACAGACAGCACCGCTTGGGAATAAGGTTTTGAGAGAAAAGAGGCTTCATTCCTTCCCTTTCCCCCCCGCCACGCTATTTCTTTGGTTAACAATCTGTACCCTTTTCAGGCTGGTTTTGGCTCGCCAGCAGCTGACCACTTCTTTTTTTCCCCAGGCTGGGAAGAGGGAGCAGAGATCACGAAACCAGCGATCAAGGAGAAAAGGGAAAAGCCAAGCTCTCCAAATGCCTGCTGTTGTGGGAAGTGGCACGCAGACCCCGCAGCCCTCCTGGGATGCTGCAGCTCTCAAGGTCAGCACAGACTCCCTGGTGCAACAAACCAACCCCAGCCAAAGCAACAGGAGGAGGTGAGGAACAGCTTCTCCTGGCTCCCCTGAAGGGCACCTTTTCTGCCTCACACCCCCCACCCTCAGCAAATTAGCAAATGCGTCTATTCATCTGTCTCCTGCGTGCGCAGATGAAAGCTGCATCAATCCTGTGCTGAGCAGAGCAGATGAGTCACTGCCAGCTTCACCGTAACACATCGCCAATAGAAGATCTCCTTCCCTCTGCAGACACCAGCCCTGAGCCCTCTCATCCACCCCTCACTGCTCCAAGTTGGAAGGTGGCCTGGTTTTGACTAATTTCTCTTCCAACGCCTGGAAAAAATGCACTTTTAGAAGACTCTAGTGTCTGAATTGGTGAAAATATTTACTTTACAGCAGCTCTGGGGTGTGGGATTCAAGGTCTTGGTGTTTTGGAGCTCACCAGGTGCAGGCACAAGGAGGAACAAGAACCAGTCACTTGACCCAAGCTACCAACAGGGTTATTTCATACCATGAATGGCACATACAACATAAATTAGGAAGTTTGCTGAGGACTTCTCTCTCTCTCCCTTGGTGGCTGCCACCCTGAGAAGTCCTTGCCCCGGTGCCAGAGCCCTGAGCCCTTCCCTTCCTCCCAAAGCTGCAGCACTCAGAGTCCCACATGGGCTGTTCCTCCTGGGAGGGACCAGCTTCCTGGGATGGAAGGGGCTGGGGATAGTCCTGGTGTATTTTATATCAATATCGGGATCAATATTGGGTCTTTAGTATTATTAATGTTAATTATTTAGTCTTATCCTATTAAATCTATTTATATTTCAACCCTCATCCTTCCTTGTATTAAATCTATTTATATTTCAACCCTCATCTTTCCTTGCTTTTCCTTAATTCCCCCTCCTGGGTGGGGAGGGCTCATCAGGTGAGAAAATAATTGTCCAAACAACACTAAATTGTTGTGGGTTCTCTCAAACCATAACAGAAGGAAAAGCTGACAACTTTGAGACGCTGCGGTGGGAGCTGCACCCCACAGACACCCATAGGGTCACAGCAGTGATGGGCAGGGGGGTCATACTTAGGGTTTCCCCCCCCCGCTGCACCCCACAGACACCCATAGGGTCACAGCAGTGATGGGCAGGGGGATCCCGTACTCAGGGTTTCCCCCCCCTATCAGGTGAGAAAATAATTGTCCAAACGACACTAAAATGTTGTCGTTTTCTCAAACCATAATAGAAGGAAAAGCTGACAACTTTGGGACACTGTGGTGGGAGCTGCACCCCGCAGACACCCATAGGGTCACAGCAGTGATGGGCAGGGGGATCCCGTACTCAGGGTTTCCCCCCCCTCCATGAAAAGCCAACCTTTTCCATTGGGTCCTTAACTGCCACAGCGTCAGTGGGAAAGAATCCAACTGCCACAGGGAGTTATGGAGTTGAATTTATCCTTTCCATTGGGTCCTC